TATATTTTAAAAAAACAATAGGACATTGTTCTAAATTAATGAAAAGTGTGGAGGGTAGTTGGGGAGAAATGAACTATAAATGAAACCTTTACAAATTTCAGATTTCACCAAAAAATAATACATATCAAAGGAGAATGCTCTTCCTACCTCTGGGAAAAAAATATTCCACATCATGTTGCCTTTCATAGAAGCTCTGGGAACATGTGCTGCCTCTTTACGTTTCCCTGAGCTCTTGTGCTGGCCTTTTAGGTCATGTTTTGCGATGACTGCCTGAGCCATTAGAAGGGAGTCCCTGATTGACCTCAGAACTGCCCTGGCATGGAAAGACAGGTCTAGGTCGGGTTTTCTCTATTGACATTTTGGACCAGATCATTCTTCGTTGGGGGTTGGGGGTGTGGTGCTCTGATCTGAAGGATGTTCAGCATCATGTCTGGTTTCTATAGCACATGTGAAGTCATGACATCCACAGATGTCTCCAGACACTGTCACATATTCCCTGGGTGGCAGAATTGTCCTCCATTGAGAACACTGGTCTAGACTGATTTAAAATTCTAGATATTTTTTAATGTGGTAAATCAGGTAGATTCAGCTTCCAGAAATGGTACCCCCCTTTGGGTATCGGCAGCTATACTGACCAGATTCAGTGTCTAGTTCTGCCCCTCACTATCCATGTGATTTCGGTTATCATCTCTAAATCTTGGTCTGTTCACCTGTAAAATGGGAGTAATAAAACAGTTCCAACTTAATAAAATTATTGTGGAGAATAAATAAGATAATGAATATAAACACAGACCACAGTGCCTGGCACGTTACTAGTGCTAATCATTATTAGCGCTACTAATTATTAGCTCATTATTGTAAAAGTTGGTTGTTATTTTTCGTATTATTATTTTTGGTTGTTAGTGGTCCAGTATCAGTCTAAAGTTATAGAATCCTAAGTGTCTAGATGTCTTTTTGAGTTGCACTAGAGGAAGCGTCAAACATAAATAATGGTAAGAAGTTATATTGTTTAGCCCCTTAGAGGGTCTAAATCCTATCACAGAGGTTATTTTTTATTTTCCCATCAAAGACTATTTTTAGGATCAATATGCCCCATAGTCCACTGAGCATAGTGAAGGTAGTCAAAGGAAATAAAAGTCTTTGGGGGACTTCAAAGAGCTTAAAACCTGGTGAAGGAAAATCATCTTCTATACATAAAATCATTAAAGAAAAACAGATGCTGCTGTTTCATACGTATTTACTGGATTGCAAACTTGTTGAAAATAGTAGTGTCCTAGGCACCTCTTTAATTCCCTCACTGGTACTTTAAACTTAGAAACAGCTCCATAAATATTGGTGGGATGAAGGAAAGGAAGGAATGTCAGAGTAAAAGACGTATTTTCTTCCAAATTGTCCCTGACTTATTATATGGCCTTGTTGAAGTCAGTTCTGTAAGTTGGTCCCTCAATAAATGGAGAAGATAATAATGCCTAACACTCAACATTTATATAGCCCCAAATAGTTTGCAAAGTATTTTCATTTACATTATTATATCTCATGATAATATATCATCAACCCCATTCTTCTTGGAGAGCTTAGCAATTTAGTTACTGCAGCTATATCATGGGTCTTGGCCGTGGAGTGTTTCTCAGGCCGGGATATACTTCAGTCCTTAAATGACCTTGATCCTACAAGACTACTTTGAAAACACCAGACCAATTTTATTATATGTAAGATTCAGTTACAAATATAAACCCCTTAGAATTTTTATCTGATGGCACAGAATCATGGAACTAGGTAGAGCCCCAAGAATCAGTTTCATCTTAACCTTTTACAGATGAGGAGATGCAGGCCCATGGGTTAAGAGAATTTCCCAAGTTCTCTTGGTGAGTCACCGCCGAGTCAGAATTACAAGCTGATTACTCTTTCATTGCCTCATGGTATTAATCATTACAAAAGACAGAGGGTTTAAATCTAACTCAAAGTAGTCAGTCTCCCTTTGGCTCTGTGTAAATATTTCACTTTAAGAGCGTGTACATTTTTTAGCCTCTCGTTTATTAACCCAATAAACTAATGAGCACATCGTTTAGTTAGCCAATATGGAAAGTAGTAATGTAATGCAGCTGACATTCCTTCACCGGTCATTTGTTTATGAAGTCCGAATGAAGTTTCTTCCTCTTCAATGTCTGCTTTAACATCTAATACACATCTTCGCTGTAATGTTGTAACTATCATTAAGTGAGAATGAATCATCTCTTTTCAAGCATTATATGTACCCATCATGAACTTTTCTTTTTATCTTACTATCACTTGATATTTTTGGAGATTGCATCAATCATGCAGCAAGCTTTATGTGCTGCTTGTGTGATGTAGCTCCTCATGGATTTAGACAATGAGTCTGTTGCTCCTTTTGGACACAGCATGTCAGAGGTGGCTGAGAAATATTGAAAATGTGGGTGGCTGCTTGGTAAGACTTAAAGAGCCACTAATTATAATTATGCACTTGGTAAGGTGAGCCTTCTTCATACAACTTGAATGTCTGTAGGGCTCTCTATATAGAAAGGCTTTAATAGTAAATATGTAATTGTTGGTAAACTATGAAGCAGAAGTTACACTTTCTTTTAGCACTTTGTGAAGCTGCAGGTGCTCTTCACAGTCAAGTTTGGCCGAAAATAGAAAGATAATGATCAGCTGTAAATTTCTAAAGGACAGAGACCATCTTTTATCCATTTCTATATATGTTAGCATGCAGAGGCATTTAATAAATTTTTGTTAACTGAACCAGTGCTATCTCTAGAATATTAAGACAGCTGCCAGTCCTGCCCAGAAATCTAAGAGTGGCACAGGTTCCAAGGAATCTTTTGCTTGCACCTACGTGCGCAACTAGGTTTAACCATTTGGGTTACTTCTGTGTATGCTGACTAGTTACTAAATGACCTGTAGTTTCTAGAAGCTGGGTTGTGCTACTCTTGAGCCTTACTACTGTTTTCTAAGCCAAGAAAAAATGACCTGTGTAAATAGAAAATCCCAAGTCTTAAACCCCAAATCAAAAGAAACATGATGTTCTCAAAAATACCTTGACACCAGAGCCAATTGCTGAAGGTACCTCAGCTGTATTAATAGTTATTAAGGAGAACTTGAACAGAGTAAAATCCTGGTAGAATTTTGTAAATGAGATCAGTTGTGGAGGCCCTCTTAATTTATCAGAGTCCATGATAGACCACTCAAGGAAACACAGACTATCAGAACTTAAGGGGGAGAGATCCGTTTTATCAGAGTCAACAGGCTTATCTCTCAGGAAAAGGGGATAGCTTTGGCCGCTGCTTGCCAATCCTTTGTCTATATCCCTAAGGGAGAATAAGTTAATGACCCATAGGAGTTGCCTTCTCTGAAAGGTGATTTAAACAGCCTCTAATGCCTCTACCCTAATACTAATATTCATCTCATCTAGAAGCTTCTGTCATGTCTCCTTACAAGATTCTACCAAGGCAGAGGCCTGCTTTTCCCTATGAAAGCCCTGACACATGATTATATAACCTTTGGACCCGTACCTAGCTTCAGGAACTGGCACCCTCCCTTCTCCCTTTCCAGATTAAGGAAAGGTACATTCTTGCTGTCATCCCTCTCAGCCCAACACTACTCCCCTGAGTAAGAGTCCTTCATCGTTTTCCAGGCGTGACTAACTCACCCGTATAGGTAACCATCCCAGAAACCCTGAAGTTTCAAAAATGAAAACTCTTGCTTAGAAATGTTCTCCATAGACAAAATGAGATTGGTTTGAACTCTCCACCAGGAGCAGTGGATTCAGGGAGTGCCCACTCACAGTAAATCCAACAGTTTCAATGCTTTATGCCTGGTGGGCTCACCTGCAGGTACTTCTTGAAAGGTAAAGTTTCTGTTATGTAAATCAGCATGTTGTGGGTCCCAAAATTAAGGAATCCAATGGATTGAGCCTGATAGTTATTAACACAACTTCTGTACAAGAGATCTAAACTTTAGAGCAACCGTCCCTCCAGAATCACGGTATTAGATTCTTTACCTGTTGGGGAAAAATATTTTTAGAGCATTGTCCATTCTTATTCCCGGTTTGAAAGGACTTTCTGGTAGCAGAATAAGCCACTAGCAAAGCTGGGAGGAACAATTTTAAAGGGACTGCCTTTGAGCTGCATATCTCATATAACCAGAACATCTATTCAGTGTGTTTTATCTGGTACGGTAAGTGCAATTTGTAATAACATATAAATTCCCTTGTCAAGGAAAACAGCCCCTGCCTACATGAGTTATTTTCAATCTTGATGCACATTAGAATCACCTAGACAGCTTTAAAAAATACTGATGTCCAGGCCCCACTCAAAATATTCTTATTTAATTGATCTGGGGCAATGCAAACCCATTAGTAGTATTTTTTCTAATTCCCCAAGTGATTCTAACGGGTGCCCAGAATTGAGAACTTCTGCTTAGATTTATAATCTCTCTTTGATAATCTTTTAAATTTATTTAGCTTTACAGTGTTCTACAAAGATAATCTTCCCTGGAGGACTAAAGGGTGAGATTGATGATGAACTCAGTAATTTTCCTACCTGAAGCCATCGGGGAATGGATTGGTCATCACTTCCCACTGGGCCACTATTTTAGATATAGAAAAATTAACCTAAAAGGGATATTTATCATTAAACGTGTTCATGAACTGAATGTGGTTGTGCTACATGGTAGATATAAATCTAGAGGAACTATTACACTTGTCTATAGATCAAACATTCTCACTTATCATTTATCATCTAAAGACATATTTAAAAATTCTGCCTTGGTTACTCAGGGAAAAGGTTTCTTCCCTCACTTTCTTCTAACAGATTAATGATGACTTAAACCTGGTGCGCCCTTGATCTTCTCGGGTCTGATTTGACAAGGAAGGTTTGGCAGCCAAATGAATCCCTGACCAAGTTCATGTGCAATATGTGAAGTAAAAGATAAGAAGGGTTGATTGTGATTCCTACAAATTTTAAATCTTTCTTCTCTGAAAGGTGTAAAGAAGTCTGGCTGCAAAGGGACCCCGAGACTTGAGGAATAACACGGTGGTGAGTTCCCCATGTCTCCTTATTACTGCCCATATATCCCAGACAGGGCACTGCAGAAACCTGCAACAGGTACAGACCAAAAGAGCTTCTGGAAGAGCTTGCTCCCCTCAAGCCAAGGGACCAGAAAACATGTAGCCTAACGTTAGAAATGTTCTTGGCAAAACCCTCCTTACTCCAGCCAAACACCAAGGGGGAAAAGTCACACCTTGCACCCCTGCAGTTTCAGCCGTGGAGTGGGAAGTTGATCTTCTACCCCAGTCCCTTGCCCAGACAAAAGCAGGCAGCACTCAGATTCCTCCATCATTGTTAGATGTCTGAGGGACTCAGCAGGGAGATGATTATCCATCCTCTGCCTGATGAAGAGGGCAATGCTCCAATTTCCCCACCAGGGTACTGGAACCCACTGGGAGCTGAGCATCCACCTCTACTCGACATGGAAGAGACTGACAATGAGATGCCAGTTGGAGCTAATAAGTGCTCCACTCTCACCCCACCCCTGGAGTCAGCAAGACTTGGTGAGGACCTGAGCCTCCACATACACCTAGCATCCAGGAGGTAGAATAAAGTGGTATGAGGTGGGGCAGTTAGTTGACAGTCCACTGAGCCCACATGCTCCTTCCCCTCGTGTCAGTAGGGCATAGTGTGGAGCCAGGCTTCCAGCCACACCCTGCAGCAACAAAGCAGTGTGAGCGGGTGCTTACTTTTGCCACAATGGAGTAGACTAGACTTTGCAAGAAGCTGAGCGTATACAATCACCCAGACCTTGAGGTATACGTTAACAGGGGCATGACCTTCACATAAAAGGTGATTAAACAGGAACCAGTCTCATAATATAATACCCAAAATGTCTAGGGTACAATCGAAAATTGCGCATCATATCAAGAGCCAGAAAAATCACAGTACAATTTAGAAAAGCAACCAACAGATACCAGCATAAGATGAATCCGATGCCAGAACAATTTGACAAGGATTGCAAAGCAACCACCATAAAAATGCTTCCATGAGAAGTTACAAATTCTCTTGAAACAAATGAAAAATTAAAATCTCAGCATGGAAATAGAAATTTATTTTTTAAAAAAGAACCAAATGGAAATTAGAGAACTGAAAATTATGTGACATTAAAAAAAACTCACTATACACCCAATAATAGAATGGGAATGATAGAGAGTAGAATCAGTGAACTTGAAGACAGATCAATAGAATTTACTCAGTCTGAACAATGAGGAAATAGGGTGAAAATAAAATAAAAAGAGTCTCAGGGACCTGTGAGACAATAACCCACATAAACATACAGATTCAAGAAGCTAAGCAAACCTAAAGTAGAATTCAACCCCCCCAAAAAAATCCATGCCAAGACATAGAATAATTAACTTTTCGAAAACTGAAAGATAAAGAAGAAATCCCAAAGCAGCCAGACAGAAATAACACAGTACAGGCATACCTCAGAGAAATTGCAGGTTTGGTTCCAGACCATCATGATAAAGCAAATATCACTATAAAGTGAGTCACGTGAATTTTGTGGTTTCCCAGTACATATAAAACTTAGGTTTACGATATACTATAGACTGTTACATAGTACAACAGCATTATGTCTAAAAAATATATCTACGTACCTTAATTAAAAATATTTTCTTGCTAAAAACTGCTAACCATCATCTGAGCCTTCAGTGATTCATGGTAGTAACATGAAAGATAACTGATCACAGATCACCAGAACAAGTATAATGATAATGAAAAAGTTTAAAATATTGCAAGAATTACCAAAAGGTGACACAGAGACGTGAAGTGAGCAAATGCTGTTGGAAAAATGGTACCAAGGGACTTGCTCCATGTAGGTCACCACAAACCTTAAATTTGGGAAAAATGCAGTATCTGAGAAGTGGAATAAAATGAGGTATGCCTGTATAAAGATGTCAGAAGAAAAATTTAAACTTCCACGTTATAACTAGAAAAGGTAGGGAAAATTAAATTCAAAAGAAACAGATGCAGTGGAATAAAAATATAAAAACAGAAATGAAGGAAATTAAAAACAAAAGAGAAATAAAAAAACATGAAGCACAAAGTCGTAAAGTCTATGCAAACACCAATGAAATTGACAAATTCCCATCCAGACTGATCAGGAAAATAAGAGCAACGATAAAAATGACTGGTATCAGAAATTAAAGGTGATACATCACTATAGGCAGTAAAAATATTAAAAATAAAACAGAATAGTATGAAAAACTTAATTACAACACATGCAGCAGTTTAGATAAAATAGACAATTTCCTAGACAAGCATAAGCTTTCCAATAGTCTGTTAAAGCCTGATATCTATTAATAAGTAGCCTTATATCTCTTTAAATTGTATAAGTAAAATTTTTTCTTACAAAATAAACTTCTGGCTAGAAGTTGTGCTGGTGAATGTCAAACATTTAGGGAAGAAAAAATAACAATCTGTACAATCATTTTGTCCAGCCCAGTTTATGAGACAAGTATAACCCTGCTTCCAAAACCAGATAAAGGTTTTGCAAGGAAACTTCAGGCCACAATTGCATATTATATAAAAGCAGAAACCATTAACAAAATGTTAGCAAATTGATGTCAGTGATATGTAAAATGGAAAGTGTTATAATTAAGGAATCTTATCATAGGAAAACAAGGTTGTTCAATATTTTTTTAAATTCATTAAAGTCAATTCACTAAATTAACAGCATACAAGAGAAAAATATAATGAGTGACTAGATTTAAAAAATGCATGTGACAAAATTTAACATAAATTTGTTAGAAAAATTCTCAATAAGGTAATAATATAAAGGAAAGGAACATCCTTAACCTGATAAAAGTCATCTACAAAAACCTTACAGGTGACATCATACTTATAAGTGAAAGACAGTGTTATTCTTGTATATTAAGACAAGGCAAGATATCTATGTTCACTACTTCTATTCAGGAGTGAACTGGAGTTCTTAAACAGGGCAACAGGAAAATAAAATTTTCTTAAAGGGTTACAAAATAAAAAGAAAGAAGTCAATTCTCTACTCACAGCTTGATTTGTACCTATGTGTAGAATATACTAACAAATCTAGAAAACGGCTACTAGAACTAAAATGTCTAGCAGAATCAGATGTTACATGATCAATATACAAAAAATCAAATGTATTTCTATATACTAACAATAAAGTGGGGAATTAAATTAAAGATAATTTATCATAATGTCAAAATTAAACATGTAGAAAGATACATTTAACAAATTAGTATTAGTCTTATACACTGAATATTACAAAACGTTGTTAGGAGAAATTTTTAAAGAACTTGGTACATGCAAGATATATAATATTCATGTGTTGGAAGACTCAAAACTGTTGATGTAATTTATCCCCAAAGTGATCTAAAAATTCAAAGTAATCTCAATCAAAATTCCAAGAAGTGATTTTCTTTTAGTAGAAATTACCAAGCAGATAACAAAATTCATGTGGAATAGGCAAAACAATCTTGAATAAGAACAACAAAATTTGAGAACTTATAGTATCTGATTTTTAAATTTATTTTAAAACTATAATAATAAAGATAGTGTTATATTGACATAAAAATAGATAAGCAGTCCAATGGAACAAATTGGTGAGTCCAGAAATAGACCTAAGTGTAAAGGGTCAATTAATTTGGGGAAAAATTGTCCAGAATTTAGCTAAATATATGTGGCCAAGTTTGTTTTTTTTAACCTAAGGATCTTTCATGGGGAAAGGAGAGAAGGTAATTTAATGGGGAAAAAGATAGTCTTTTGAACATATGGATACTGCTGTATCAGAAAAGGTACCTTTACACTTATTATGCAGCATGCAATGAAATTAACTCAAAATTAATCATTACTATTCACAGCTATAATATATTTAGAATAAAACATAGAATATTTTCATCATTGATGTAGTTCAAGATTCCTTAGATGTGTTTTTTTAAGCACAACATAAAAAAATCACTTGTTAAATAGGACTTCTTCAAAACTAAAAACTTTGCTCTTTGAAAGGCATTATTAAGGAAATGAAAATGCAAGACACAAACTGAAAGAAAATATTCACCATGCATATATATGAAAAAGTACGTGTAAAAAATTAGAATTCAATAATGATGTGACAAATAACACATGAAAAGAAGCTGAATTTTATGTCACTAGGAAAGTGAAAATTAAGAACACAGTGAGATAACACTATACTAAAAATAATGTTATAAAGACCAACAACAACAAATTGGGGTGTAACAACTAGAAATTTCACACATTGCTGGTCAGAATGTAAAATTTTGCAAACACTTTGGCATTGTCTTTTGAAGGTAGTTATACACTTATATTATGGCTAAGTGATTCAACGCTAAGGCATTTACCCAAAAGAGAGAAAATCACGTGTCCACACAAATATTTATACATTAATGTTCATAGCTGCTATAATTCATAGTAACCCCAGACTGGAAACAGAACAACTATAAACTCCTGGATGAGTGAACAATTTCCTAAAATCTATAGAATACAATTTATTCAGCAATGTAGGTATTCAATGAATAGATGAAACTGATACATGAAAATATGTGATACATCTCAAACCATTAAAGTGATTTCTTATTTATTTACTTTTAACTGAAATACAGTTGATTTTAAATATTATATTCGTTTCAGGTGTACAACATAGTGATTTGATGTTTTTATAGATTTTACTCCATTTAAAGTTATTACAAAATAATGGCTGTATTTCCCTGCTCTGAGCAATATATCCTATTGCTTATTTATTTTATACATAGTATTTGTGTCTCTTAATTACATTTCTATCTTTCCCCTCCCCCTTTCCTTACCCCACTGGTAACCACAAGTTTGTTTTCTATATCTTTCAGTCTGTTTTGTTATATACATTCATTCTATTTTTTTTAGATTCCACGTGTAAGTGATAACAGAGTATTTCTTTCTCTGTATGACTTATTTCACTAAGAATAATATTCTCTAGGTCCATCCATGTTGTTGCAAATAG